ATGGCCTAAATATAACAGTTGCTTAGTTAAAAATTTACATTTTTCGGGATTTAGTTTTAAATTTACTTTCCGAAATCTCTCAAAAATGTTAATTAAATTATTATTATGGGAATTTAGACTCCTCCCAAAACATATAACGTCATCGAGATAAATAAGACATTTTTCATATTGTAAACCAGACATTGCTACTGTCATCATTCGACTAAAAGCACCTGGGCTAATTTTGAGACCCATTGGAAGTCGTTTCATTTGGTATTGCCTGTCGGCAGTAAATGCAGTATACTTTCTACTGTCTGGGCATAACTCTAATTGATAATAACTTTGACTGAGATCTAAATGTGTAAAATAAATAGCACCTGATAAAGAGTCAAGTATCTCTGTTATGTTAGGCAATGGAAACTTATCATCTTTCAACCTATCATTCAATTTCCTATAGTCAATTACAATCCTCCATTTTTTGTTTTCATTACTATCACTTTTCTTCGGAACGAGAAGAACTGGACTAGACCATTCGCTTCTACTTTCCTCTATAATATCGTTATCTAACATTTGTTGAATTTGCCTATCGATTTCATGTTTTTGACTTTTTGGTAATCTATAAGGCTTTGTGTACGTAGGAATAGCATTATCTTTTAAATGTATTGATTGCTGGTATAAATTTGTAACTCCTAATTTATCTCCTGGCAATAAAAAAATATCGGAGTATTTAGCACATATATTTTCGATAGAAATTTGTTCTTCTTTGGTAAGATCTTTAAGATTCAAAATAGAAAATAACTTTTTCACACGTTCAGCATTCACGTTACTTTTTTCAAATGAACACAAGAAATAATCACTAAGACTAACTACCTCAGGAACGAAGTAACTTAGTTTTACTTCTTCTTCTCTAGTATTTAAAATTTTCAGTGGAATTTTACCACAAATAGGGCTAACCAAAACAGATGCTAAAAATACTCCATCACTCAATTGCTTAGGCATAACTACATACTCATTTTTTAAGTCGGTTCGCATAAAATAAGTAAATTCACACCTTGGCGGAAATTTTATATAATTATTATAGCCAAGTTTACCCATTTGTAAAGGTATTTCAATAGATGAACCTTGTTGAAGCGTTAAAATATTTCGTTCAAAATCTAATATAGAATTAAATTTACTTAAAAAATCTTGTCCTAATATACCATCTGTTCTACATGAAAAGTTTTTCAAAACATAAAATTTGTGTTTAAAATAGAAGTTATTATAGTTTAATTCTAAACAAACAAAACCATCGCAAAATATATGTCCTCCAATACCGTTTATTTTAATGCGCTCTATATGGAAAGGAACATCCCATTTATGTAATAACTCGTGTCTTATTACCGACAGTGAGGCACCGGTGTCAATTAGCCAACTACAAGACTCATTAAAAACATTTATATGAACCGAATTAATATTTTCGCAATAAAAATGATCATGCACGAAAAAACCAATTTTTGTCCTTGTTACTATTGTCTTGGACCTCAGACTGTTGTTTTGAATTATCTTTAATATTCATTTCAGCAAAGTTTATCTGATTCCGTCGCGCCTGACTACGAACCCATGCTTGGCCACGAAAACCGCTAGAACCGTGATAATAATTTTTTCCGCGAGAAGCGAAATTACGACCATTACCACAATTACTAGAACTATAACCATGACCACGATTATTTAAAATCCGAGGAGTGGGCATCCCTGTAGAATTCCCTCTAGAACCATTTTTATGAAACCCTGCTGGTTGGTTACGGTTATAAAAAGAGTTATGAAAACTAGACCTACCTCTGTTATGATGAAAATTCATCATTCGCTCTTCCCTTCCGCTCGATAAGGTCTCATCCAACGCACCTTGAATAGCGTCTTTTAGCGAGCTATAGTTTCTAGCCGCTATGATCGTACTAAGACGACTATTCCGCAGGCCATCGGCAAATCTCTGTATCGCAATACGCTCGTTTATTGGCTTTAAAATTTCATAAGAGCTAGAGTTACCGTTGGCCTGAGAAACTGTCAAATCAACAAATAATTTTTCGATTTGCTTACCGAACTCTTGAATACTTGTGTTATCCTGTCGAATATATTGTAGCCGAGACTGTATCGCTGTGTCAGATTTTTTAGGCAACAATATATCTCGCATATACTTGATTAAGTCTGAAACAGATAAATAATTAGAGCACATGCGCAGCTTGGCGCTTTCTGACAATCTAGATTTTAAAACAAACTGTATCAGTAGCTTTTTGCTATCATCATCAATCATTGACTCATACATTTCTATATTAGAAATTAACTGTTTAGTGACATTCTCATCACCCGTCATAACTGGCAACAGAGAAACTGCAGTTTTTAACTCAAACTTCTCCATGATTGTTGTACTATGATACCTACCTATGTTTTCAGAACAAAGTTGAAGTATTTTCGAATAAATCGAATTAATTGTATCGAATATTTCACAAAGCTTTTGACTCTCCGAACTTTTTATTTCCTTAGTTTCTACTTGCTTTATAATCGACTTACTTAATAACCAAAATTTATCATATAAAAACTTTGCTTCGGCCCTCTTTTTGTCTCTTACACTAGATGTAGAAGGTCATCTATGTCTAATTTCATTTGCCATAACCTAAGGATACATAATACATTTTTTTTTAATACGGTTACATAGGTTTACACTTATATTAGAATTATTACAGATTAATACATAATTAATATGTTAAACTAGGATTACACTAATACTCAATAACCACATAATATTCTTTACGCATTTTTAAGAACCATCACGCACACACACTCACACTGGCAAATTCCCTGTAGCAGCAGACCCACGTTCTCGTCGCCGCAGCGTGCTCATAGACCTTCTCAAGTCATAAGCCTCTATCCCACGCTGGATCCATTCGCCATTGCATTTCCGATAATATCGGAACAGGATTATCGCGGCCCCAACAAAAAGAAGAGCACAAATTGCGATTAGAGCATAAGATGTTGAGGTGGTATGCCACAATAATTGCTCCGTGGAGGCAGAGTTCCCAGCTCCGTTTTGAGCGATTATAATTTCTTGCTCCTTGGATTGCTGCTAGCCCATATTTTTAATTTTTGATAAAGTCTTTGCCACAAATTCACAGTCACTCTAGATGGGACTTCGCAATATAACAACGCCATAATTATAATTATTGTCTTTAACTTTACATTTCACTTAGTGTTTATTTTATCATTGCCATATACGGCCGGACACCGGACTCGCGCACGCGCTGGCAGGGTCGCCATATAGGGTTCGGAGCGGGATTGTAATAAGACAACCACTAGGTTCGAATACACTTTAATAAGTCTCTAATATAATAAGATATAATAGCTTAAATACTAACTTAAAGTAGGTGAATGACATCACCCTGTTATGAAACCACACTTTTTATCCCGGAAAAATGTACGGTTCCCGTGGGATAGATGTTTTCGTTTATTTGTAACGTATTATGTACACAACATAAACCCCAAAACAATAGTTATCGAAAAATTTGTCTGTTTCTCTGTGTGCCTGTATGTCTGTTTGTCTGTCTTTGTATGTGCGTTTCACGCGAAAAGTAATGGACCGATTTCAACGTTTGATGAAGTGATAACTTATTACTCGAGTCAACGTCTAGGATACCTTTTACTTCAAGAAAATCTTTCTTTGTCACAGGAAGATACAATAACTGGTTATATCGAGTCCTCCATAGAAACTTTCCGCTGGCTAAACCTTAAGACATACATACAACAAAACAATATACTAAAACATTGTAGGTTTTGAAAAGTCCTACAAGAAAGAAATGTATGAACAATATTATTTAAAGTTTTATTAAAATCCAATCAGTAGTTTTTGTGTACTAAGCTTCATAAGTAATTATAGTTTTTTAACTATCCCACGGGAACTATTTAATTTTCCGGGATAAAAAGTATCTAAGATGTTGCCCGGGGATATAAGGTACCACCATGAAAAAATTCATTTAAATCGGTCCAATAGATTCGAAAATTAGCCCGTGCAAACAGACAAACAGACAGAGAAACAAAAAAATCGAAAAAAATCTGGATTTGTTCAATTTGTCTTCTTACATCCCCATGACTCGGTTTTTAGCATTTTTTTGCAATGTACAAACATTCGACCTCTACTGTTTTATTATAGTATAGATACTTAATTAAAGTGTATACTAAAATAAAATGTAATAAACTGATAATTGTAAATAAGGATGAGTGCCTGTAGTGAGGCGATCTGTAAACAGGTTTTTTTTCCTAGTACAGACACCAGTGTCTCATAAAGGCGTCTGTTACAGTTTTTTTAAACTTCTCATAGAACAAACTTTAATGTTTGTGGTTTTCGTGATGAGAAAAATAAATAAATTAATTAAATCAATAATATTACTCCGTTGGGCTCTCGCAGATGCGTAGTCTTCTTCTTCTTGCACGGCCTTTTCCGCACTTAGGCAGTATTGCCAGTTGTGCGACGATTGAGTCTTGAAAATTCCAAGAAACAGATTTGGCGCAAGAACTATACGAGGAATAGTTTGCGTATTTTGTTTGTATTATGATCTTTGAAAAGTAATTATGTAAATATATATATTTTAAATTTTATCTTATTTATTCTGCCTATTAGGAGTCTGTTTCAAGTAAGATACTGGTTTATTGACCGCTGGCCGTGGGAGGAAATGGACCGATACATTATATGACATTCGATCGCTATTGTTTGCTCCTTCACTACGTAGCCCTGCGCTTAATGGATGGCTTTGTTGTAATATTATTACGGGAAACAATAAAAACTTATATAAGCACGGATATCGGACGCCAACGGCATATTCTCTTTACCAGCTTTAACAAAAAGAAAGTGTGTATTCAGAAAGTATCGTCTTTTCAGCTATTTTTAATGATACAGGGAATAATTGTAAAGAGATTAGACAAGATTTTTAGGGATTAATTTGGCGTTCATTGACCGTCGCGTCGTTAAATAAAAGAAATAAAAAAAATATAAAGGG